GTGGTGAGCAGTTCCGTGATAGTGTGTTGGAGTGTCTGGCGCATATACTACGTAGTCGTTTTGTTGCAGGTGGTTATAGAGTGCAACGCCAGCTTTGTTGTGTACTCTGCTGTGCCAAAGTGTGTATTTTGCATTTAAGTCGCCAGCTGCTAAGAACCATTCCGCGTTGTTGGTTATTGCGTCGAGATCTCCTGAATGTAGGTCGTCTTTTGGCGGTTTGTAGATTGCTGATACTATTATTTCTGTGTTGTTGGTCTTGATACGAACGCTCGTAGACTGTAGTGTTGTGTTTAGGTTCTCAGGCTGGTGGACTATTCTTCGGTGAACTAGAATTGCCGTTCCTCCGTGTGATGGACTTCCTTTTTTTGTTGGATGGTCATTTCTGTAGATTATATAGCTGGTAAGTTTGAGACGGTTTTTCGGTGACAAGTGAGTTTCGTTGAGTAGTATGTCAGTTTTGTGGCTTTTTGTGAAGTCTTGAAGCTCGTTGAGTTTATTTGTGATGCCGTTGCAATTCCAGTGGATGATGTTTAGGTTATTCATTGTTGATTGTAAGTATTTGTACGAAGGAGTTGATTGTTGTCAGTATTATTGTTTTAGGGTCATCGGCTGTGGCGAAAGCTTCTTGCAGGTTTTTGAGAAGTTGAATGATTTGTGTTGCATCTATTACTTTTTTCATGGCTGGCGATGTCGCTCTGGCGTAGCTTTTGTTTGCGGTTGTTGGTTCAGACGATTCGGAGGTTGTTTTTTGTTTTAAGGTGGGATATTCAGTTCTTGATGTTGTTTCAGTTGTCGGTGTTGGGTTGTTAGTTTCCTTCCTGCGTTCGGTTTCTAGGTAGTGTGGACATCCTCTGTAATTTGCGGTGTGATTGCCATTGCAGTTACAGCAAAGTGGTTGTTCTTTCTTTTCTCTTTTGGCATTCTTTCGCTAGGTGGGGTCCGGCACACTTTCCACATCTGGGGGCGTGTTTGCATTTGCTGGAACCGTGGCCGAATCGTTGAAAGGTGATACATTGAGCTGACCGCTTTGCTTGAATGTTTCTATTTTGACTCGTATGTAAAAAAGTGCGTCTAGGTAGTAGATTTCTTTCGCGTTGGTGGAGTTTGCAATTGAGACGAAGCAGATTGGCATTGTGGCTTTTTCGGTACCGAAACGTCTGACCGCAAAGCCCAGTCTTTGTAACTCTTCCGTCAACTCTGTGTTTTGTACATCTACTGGTATTCCTTTGATGACCACTTTGATAGTTTTCTCTTCTGGTATTTTGAATGTATGATATTCTATTTGATTTTCATGATTTTCATTTGATTACATGATTTTTTGTACGAGTTTGAATTGGCTAACTTCTGAACTGTTTATTTGGATATTGCCAACGGAAATGACCTTGGCGGACATATTTTCTGTGCGGTTGTCAGGATTTTGGTGGATGATTGGTGCAATTTTGCGCCATAATGATGACGCGACGATTATCGGTGGAATTCTTTTCGAAGGTACAGAGGTCGGTATTAGGTTTGTTGATTGCGAAGTGGTTGTTGTGTCGGATGCGAATGATTCACCCGATACGGACTCTTCGTCAGTCGGTTCGAGCGAAGTAGACGCGGAGCGCTGTTTGTCTCTCTTTGAAGCAGGCAGATTGCTGGCTTTCGAGGCAAGAATGCGTTTTTGCCCTTTACCTCCTCGACCCATAGTGATTACTATGGGTACCTGGAGTACCAGAGACGGGTCGGGCTACGTGTTGTGCTGTGGAGAGCTAGAAGAATAAGTATAGATATTCACTAACCTGGAGTATCCAGTATCACGGAATCTTCTGAATGCACTACACTGTGTAGCGTACGCGAGCGAAATTTTTCGTAATTTGTCCCGACAAGGGCTCTGAACAGGGCTAGTCAGAATTACTAGTCAGTATGACGATCTTGGTACTGGACGCGGTTGGGGTGGCCGGCGATCGAAACATCGCGACGGCGAAGATCGAGCTGGTCGACGGACCGGCGTGGTTCACCTAGGAATAAATCCTCTGGCTAGACACGACAGTAACCGGCGGGCTCAGAACGTTATCGACCGACGGAACACGTGGTTTCGCGGTTTGATGCACTTACGACGTAGTCGTACGCACTGTTTTTACTAGCGACGGCTAGTACACTTGCTCGGAGAGCGATGCACGGAAGCGAGCACGTGGTTCGCGGTGGGTAGAAATGCATATACGAACGGTACTCGTAAAGCACAGTGTACGCACTTCGGCACGACACGGCGGTGGCGGAAACACGTGGTTCGGGACGCGCACGGGATCGGATGCAGAGTACGTAGGTGGGGGTTGTAGCGCATTGACGGGTAACGGACGTGTTGACACGGCGGCGGTTTACAACGGACTGTTGACGGTGTCTTGCTTGCTTGCTGGGTTGACGGCTTGTGCCTATTTAGTTTGGGCTATGCCCTTCTTCTATTGTGTGATGTGAGGCTGGATGGTTTAATGGCTTTTACTTCTAGTTGTGATCTATTGTTTCTGGTTGTCTATGGATGTTATTCATTAGTCGGTTTTGATTTGTTGATGTTGTTATGTTGTTAGGGGATTGGTCTATTCTGTTTGATGGTGTTTTTTGCGTTTTGCCTTTGTATGACGGCCGGCGGCCTATGNATGATTGTTATGTTGTTAGGGGATTGGTCTATTCTGTTTGATGGTGTTTTTTGCGTTTTGCCTTTGTATGACGGCCGGCGGCCTATGTAGAGCACCAGGCGTTAGCCTATTCTCTCTTGTATGAGGTTTTTGCTTGAGCGTAGTTTTCTTTCTTATGCTAGGAATAAGTTATATTAATCAATTAGTTTTTGTAAATGGACATATTTGGAGTTTATGAAAAAATTATAATAATTATGATATTTTATGAAAGAAAATACTTAACGAGAACTGTGCAGTTGTTTCTAGTGTTTTTATTTGAGCGGAATTTCAGATGGTTTCGTTTGACGTAAGTTAGTGCATGCCTATGATCATGCGGAGTGTTGTGTTTTGTACTGCCTCTAGTTTTTTCCAGTTGTTGTTGCTTATGTGTGGGCTCCAAGCAGTTGACGCGTATAGTAATATCGGTTTTATATATATCGAGTAAATTTGTAATCTTGATTTTAGCAGAACAGTTGATTTGTGTTTTATTATTGGATATAGTGATGATTTGACTCCTTTTGCTTTTTGGATAATCTTTGTAACGTGTTCATTTTTAGTTGTGTGTCCAGTGTGACTCCTAGGTATTTTATAGTTCTTTTCCACTCTATAGCTTTGCTATTGATCGTTAGTTTTTTGGTTTTGTTGTTTGTACTGGCTCCGAATATTATGGCTTCGGTTTTTTCAACGTTTAGTTTTATTCTCCATTTTTCGATCCATGGTAATGCGAAGTTTATTTGGTATTGCAGTTGTATGATGGTGTAGTTTTTGTTATGGTTGGCGGAATAAAACATTGTATCGTCTGCGAACATTGCTGTTGATGCGTTTTTTGTTGTCGGTATGTCGTTTGTAAATAGTATGTATAGTAGTGGTGATATGCACGGGTGACATTGGAATGGCTTTCTCTAAACGCGTGTTGTTCTTCTCTTGGCTTGATGTAGGTTTTTAGCCTAGACAATATGATTTTTTCGAAGATTTTTGAGAGAGCCGGAAGTAATGATATCGATCTGTGATTTTCGGGTTTTGCGTGGCTTTTTCCGGTTTTCGGTATCATAGTTATGATGGCGTTTTTCCATTGTCATGGAAAGTGACCCGTTCTAATACTTGCCGTGAATATGTGTGCTAATTGTACGATAACGTTATTGTGTAGGTTTTTTAACGCTACATTTGAGATATTGTCGTATCATGGTGCTTTTCCGTTCACAAGTCTCTTTATTGTCTCCTTAATTTCTTTTGGCGTTACGTAGTCCGTGGGTTGTTGGTGGTCTAGTCCGGTTTCTTTTGTTGTGTTTTCGACTTCGGGCAAGTTTTCTCCTGGATTGTTTCTAAACTGGTTGGCCATTGTGTTTGCGAATAGTTCTGCCTTTTCGTTGGCGTCGAAAATGTTTTGCCCCGTTTCGGTGTGTAGCGGTGTGTTTGTCGGTTTCTTGTTGAGTAGTCTTTTGTTAATATTGTGGAGCGATTTGTTTTTAAAGTTTAAGTTGCTGGTAAATTTATCCCACTCGTTTTGTCTATGGTCTGTAAGAAGTTGTTTAACGTGTTTTATTTGTTTGTTATATAGTTTCTTTGTTTTGGGGTCTCTTGTGAGATGCCAGAGTTTCCGAAGTTGACTCTTGGTTTCGATTTCTAGAAGTATTTCGTCTGTCAGCGTGTGTAGGATCGGTCTAGGTTTTGTGTTATACGTGGCGTCAGCTAATTCTTTTTGTATTGTGTTTGTGATCCGATTGACTGCTGTATCGATATCTTCCGGTGTTTTTACGCGGTAGATCTTGTAATTTTGTAAGTTGTTGAATTTTTTTCAGTTGGTTCTTTTTTTTGGCTCACAGGAGTGTGGGTACAGCGAGATCGGCTAAAACAAACTTTTGGTTGAAAAAATACCTACATGGAATAGATATACGTTGCGGGGATGTGGAATACAATGGGTTGCCGAGAATAATGAAACTCTTGCGATGCGAAACCATTTACGTGAAGGGAGCTGTAAAAAAGCGAGTAGTTGAAAAGTACATACCGGGACAACGTATAGTCAACGTAGAGGATTTGGACTGTCCTCCTCTGTACAATTTATGTTGTGTTACAAAACCATGTTGTATCCGACACATGAACAACCCAAATATGTGCAGTTTATATAAGACTATATGTTTAAAACAATGGATGAATTATAACATGTAACGCTATTGTATTAAAAAATATATATATAAACACGAATACTTTATAATATTCATTTTTATTTCTACAATAAGTATATTTTTCATAAATAAATTATAAATTAAAGATTATATAATAAATTGACATATATTAAATACAATAATATATTTTATACAAAATAAATTGTTATGTATTTAAAGAATAATGTCCCTACGCTTTTGTATATACATTTTTATACCCAAACTCGTCGCCGACTATTGCACGCTTGTCATAGTTGTTGGACAATGCGAGTTTCCTCGTTTCTACCGTCAAAACATTGTGATGTTTTGAACATATGATTGAAATTTTCTTGTGGATTTGTTTTAGTTTATTTCGCAAACAATTTAAATAGTCAACCATATTTATTTCATGTTTCACTACACCCATATTAATACCCTTCAATCGCTTCACTTCTTCTTGCCGCAAAAAGTTTTTATAATTTTTGTAGGCAATCAGGTACGCATAGACTTTGGGCAAGAGTGCAACAATTTCCTCCATATGCATACCTTTACATTCGTCGGTAAATGTACCCGGTTGTTTTTTTACGTTTATCACTGTAACACATGGATGATCAGTGGGATAGTTTTTTTTACACAAACATTAATTTTTTTATTTAAAAAAAACTACCTGTTCCATATAAATTTGTAGCATCTAGGTATTGAAGATATTTATGTGGAATATTGGGATTGTAGTCAGAGATACCTGGATGATTTGCTCGAGCATATCGCTGATTGACCTATATTAAACATAATATATATATATATATAAATATTATTAAACATATTTTTATATTTTTAATAATCACACATACTTGTGTCAAACCTCCATGTATATCCAATTCAAACATTAATAACATATCTGGGTCTGTTATCAGTTCGATGTTGACATCAGTATATTTTAACATAGCATCAAATGATAGGGCTGGACATGAGTAATAATGAGTGGGATCCAGAGAATAATTTTTTAAACTCTCCGCGCGAAACTTTTCAAATATGTCAGCAAGTACCTAAAAAATAAATGTATTTATAATTGTTAATTACTAAAAAAATTAACAACATACCATAACGTCGACAAGTAAATACTTGTCACTATAATCACCAATAGTTTTGCATTCAAAGTGTTGCCACATTTTTTTTGCATGTTCATAGTCCTCTTCGAATACTGTAGTTTTCGTAATGGAACTGTAAAAATTTTCGTGGGTTGGCAACTGATTTTCGTCAAGTTTTTCCCAACTGTCTACGTATTCGTATGGGAAAACCGATTTCCGTGTGACCAACTCCAATGATTTAAAGACATTTAATGAAAGTGCAAAATCAGGTAAAGTCAAGGTGGTTGTAAGTTGATACAAACTCGCTTGCAAAAATCGATATGAATCTATAAATTCAAGTTGAAAATAATCGCTTATTGTCTTACTGAACGAAATATATTTTTCTTCGGATTGTGCTATAACAGTAATGTCTTTATCGTCGTAAGCCATTTCTGGTATTATCATGTGCGAGTCATAGTTTGAAAGACCATGCATGATAACTGGTATGAATGCGGAATATNAAAAGACAATGCATGATAATTGGTATGAAAGCGGAATATCGTCGTTGTAAATTATATTTGTGGCATAAAACAGCTCGAAATTTTGCCGTCCAATGATTATGATCCTTGACTTTTACTATTTTATCGGTAAACTCTATTAAACACGAGTCGCAATGTTTTGTGGTATTGAAACGATGTTGTTCCTCAGAAGTTAGAGGATTCATTTCGATGTTAATTTTCATGATATCTGATACTTGTTTTCCAATATCCACCAACGCTGATACAAAATGTTTAGCAGCATCAGGTCCTCGATACATTACTGGTTCCTCCGGTAATCCCTGACACATGTTTTGCGGTAATATTTTGGAGTTGCGTACTAAGTAAAAACAATAACTCATTGGTTTATGTTTTTGTACAATCATAGACTTGTCCGATATTTGTTCCATCGTTCGAACAAGTAAACTTTCCATATCAGCGTAGATAACTAACGGTATTGCTTCTTCTCGTCTTGTGTTTTTAAAACATAATATTGAAAGATCAGAGTTAGGCTGTGGTAGAACAATGCGAGCCTCCTTGAATTTTCCACACATTTTTACATGTTCTTTAAGTCCCTCTTTCCCACTCGCANGCACACATTTTTACATGTTATTTAAGACCCTCTTTCCCACACGGACGAGTTAATAACGGTTGCTCGTTAAATACGCTGAGACATCGTTTACAATGATATTCTTGTCGTTTACTTTTTGAGCGTTGTTTTGATACAAGCCTTGAAAATTTTGAGATGTAACAATAGTGGTTAGTTTCATTATTTTTCAAGTATAGTAAATCAATATGATCTGTAGCGGTTTTGGATTTAGTTACACGCAATGGAAAAACAATGTTTTTATTGTCCAACGCATACACATTTACCGATATTGTAGGATTTTTTCGTTCGAAGCGATTAATTTGTTCAATTGGTGTTGGAAAATCAATACCAAAAAAATCTATGTTCAAACGTTGTTCTAATTCAACATATGCAACATTCTAATCACTTCTTTTACCTCTTTTATTGTAATGACATAAGATTGACCATTTGAAACATTGTTGACCATCGTTTTTAATATTTACAACAGCCTTTTTGTTTTTTATACACGATGGTAATTCAATATGCGATGATCCCTTCAGTGGGTTCAATTTATGTACTCTCAACAAAATACCATCAATTGATATTAGCGACCATCCACTTTGCTTGATTTCCATTTCTTGTTTTTCAGTTTCCAACTTTAATGTTATTTTTTNAATTTTCATTTCTTGTTTTTCAGTTTCCAACTTTAATGTTATTTTTTCCATTACTGATGTAAAATCGGTTCCTAAGTCTACTGTTTTATTGCGCGACTTGAATGATACATCTTTGAACTCACCAGTTACAGTATGAAAGTACGTTGTATGTAGTAAAACATTGAATTTTACCATACCCTTTACAGTTAACATTTTTAATAAATTTATTATTTCGTGATTTATTTTAACCATGAAATCGACAATGTCATCAACAATTGTATTATTTTTCAAAAAAAAATTTCTTACACCACCTTTTAAGGCCGAATTAATTTTTTTGAATCCTGATCCTACTAAGCCCATACACTGTTTTTTTGTAACTTTTACCATATTTGAGTCCGAACTATGTGTTGGAAAACAGTTTTTTTTAGGTTTTCCTACAGTGCAATAAATTGTTGGTCTATGATTCAAATTATTGTTGCAATGTTTTTGAAGACTATCGATGTCCCCGAATATTGCACCACAACCACAAACTGTATCAGACATCATCATTTATACAACTAAATAATGAAAAAAGTATATAGAGTAACATTTCATAGTTTTTTAAATATCATTTATTATGTTATACTATGAAATTTTTTTTATTTGACGTAAAAAGTATATTTTTTAAGTTTATTTTATAATTTTAAAATTATAAAAATAGTTTTTTTATTCATTTTCCTGTAGCTATTATATTAANAATGCATACATAATAAGTTATGAGGATGACGTTATTGACTTAAGAAAAATAAGAAGTGATCAGCCTTTGTTTTTTTTGTTTTGAAATAATTGTCCTCACTTCACTTCTTATTTTTCTTAAGCCAATAACGTCATGGAAGTCAAAATCCTCCTGCTCGCAAAATTTCAAAAGGACATCAACTGCTTCCATTGCTTGGCTAGTCTGTATTTTTTCAAAACTCTCACTTTCATTATCACTCTCAGAAGAAGAATCAAGCTTTTGTGAGGTAGATAGTGTACTTGTACTGCCATAACGAGCTGCTATGTCAAAGTCACTTAAACGCTCAAATCCCTCTTCGTTATGATCTTTTTGTAGCCAATCAACAATATCGTCTTTATCAACGTTAGTGAAATCTGGAATAGATGTAGCAAGTTCAAGACAATCTTCTATATCTGTATCTTCGACATTTTCTTCGTCACCATAACCTTGATCTAAGATTTTCGCCCAAGAAAGTCGTAACGTACTTGCAGGTACATTTTCCCAAGCATTACATACTGCGAAAATGGCATCTTTTATGGTCCATGTTTTCAAAAGTTCTTTCATTGAATCATAACAATTTTCTTGTAAGAGATAACGGAGAAATATCTTTTTGTACTTTCGTTTCAAACAGGAAATCACGCCTTGATCCATTGGCTGTATTAAGGAAGTTACGTTAGGTGGTAGATAATAGACAAAAATTTGACCATCCATTGTTTTCAGGGTAGATTCTGAGGGGTGTGAAGGAGCGTTATCAAGCAGAAGAACAGCTCTTTTTGGTATACCTTTTTCATCTTGAAATTTTTTTACAGAAGGTACAAAAACGTTAAAATACCATTCACTAAAAATAACCTGGTTCATCCAAGCTTTTGGGTGGTGGTAATAATCACATGGAAAATATTTCATTTCGGTTCCTTTAAAAGATGTTGGTTTTTTAGCTTTTCCAATTACAGTTAATTTCATCTTATGTGTACCGGTTGCATTTGAACATGTCATAATAGTAAGTCGTTCTTTGCTAGATTTATGTCCAGGAGCTGATTTTTCAGATTGCGCGGCAAGTGTTTTTGAGGGTAACATTTTCCAGAATAGACCTGATTCATCTGCGTTGTACACTTGATCAGGGGACAGGTTCAATTTTGAAAGCATTGAATTGAATTCGTCATTAAACAATGTTGCAGCAGTCAAATCTCCACTGAGACATTCACCTTGAATGTCCAGCTGTCTTATACCATGACGAGTTTTGAATCTAAATAACCAACCTTGTGAAGCATTAAAACTTTCCTCTATTTTCAAATTTTCATGAAACCATTTTGCTTTTTCTTAAACTATTGGCCCAGAAATTGGAAGTCCTTCAATACGCTTCTGTTTAAACCATTCAAAAAGAGCAGATTCCATATCTGATAATGATGACTTTTTCATAGTTTTTCTCGTAGCTGATAATTCTGGACAAGATATGAACTTAAAAATTTCAGTTTTTTTGTTTGATTAAGTCACGAACTGTCTGTTGACCCACGCCAAACTCGTCTGCAAGTTTTTGTATACTTTCACCATGATCTACAGCTCGGTTAATAATCAACACTTTTTTCTCAAGAGAAAGAACGATACGTTTTTGTTTAACACTCATTATTAGATAAGGTAACGTCGCGAACGCTTATAGTAAACTGAAGGTGATATGATAAATACAATTTGTAATAATCTACAATATTGTTTATCTTGATATTGTTATCGCCATAATATGTACAATCCATAACTATTTTTAAATTTTCGGAAGAGTGAGCACGGTTAATCGCGAACACGGATAATCGAAGCACGGTTAATCGAGGTTCCACTGTATATGGTAGCATTCCACGGTTTTTTTTTTTAATATCATTTATTATGTTATATTATGAATAATTTTTATTTTTTGTAAAAAGTACATTTCTCTTTAAATAATAATTAAACTTTCAACAAATTAATTTTCTACAAGCAAAGTAGTACTAATGATATAATCAATTATATGTATAGACTATTATTTTAAAATTATAAAACTAGTTTTTTTTATTCATTTTCCTGTAGCTAATATATTAATACTAATGATTATACTGACATTATTTTCTCCACATAAATTAAATAGATTTATTTTTTACTATATAAAACAACAAAAAACTGAAACTAAAATATTTATTAAATAAACAAGAGGAAAAATAAAAACAGAAAATATTTTTTTGAAAAGGAGGATGAATGAGAGAGGAAAAAAAAAGTTTAAATAATTAACAAAATTAAATTTGCTAATAGTATAATGGATATGAGTGGTATTAGGTAAAGGGGAAAGAAAAAAAAAAAAGCTAAACATTTTTTTTTAAAGGAAGCAAAAGCTGATTCAGACTTGAAAAAGAAAAAAAAAATGTGTGTGTATATGTTAAGTATTTATGTGTATGAAATTTTTTTTTTTGAAATAAGAAAAATGAAATGTGAAGGGCAAAAAATAACTGATTTTTTTTAATTTTGATTGTAAACTATATTTATTTTATCAGAAATGGAGAAAAAATTTTTATTTGACAATCGCTATACGTTGCTGTAGTAATACTCAATCTATTAATTATACTTCTGTTGGCTTTAATTTATTTTGAGAAAAAAAAAACAATAATATATATAGTAATGTTTAACCACAAAATGTAACTAATCGTACTATGTTAATCGAAAATTAGATGTATTTTTCTATAAAATATAGTATACGCTAATTACGTAAACAAACAGTACAGATTACTATGGCAAACGAACTTAAAATTATAAAAATATTATTGGACTTATTGTTTTTGTTAACAATATTATTTATTTTTTTTTTTTAATTAAGCGTTCAGACACGGCGTTTTATTCGAATTTTTTCTTTTCTTAAATAATTATATATTGAAATATTAATTAATAATAAGCGAAATTCATAGAAATAAACGATCTGTGTCTGT